GGTCTCGTGGGTGACCAACACTTTGGGTGCCCCTTCCCCAAAGTGATGTGGCACCACAGCCCTGGGCAGAGGGGAGAGAGAGCAGCAAAGCACTCTGGAGCAGTGGCAGATGCTTCTCCAGCCCAGCATTCCCAGCCAGGGCACTGTTGATGGAAAAGGAACAAAATCACCACCAGGGACCTCACTCCCAGGGTACAGTTAGTGGAGAGGGGATTGGTGTCTGTGCAGAGCACAGAGAATGGAGAGGGGACACTCAGAGACGCTTCAAACCGAACCCAAGAGCCAGCTCTGCCCGTTGCTCTTGAATTAGGAGCAGGCAACAGGGAGGAGATGGCAAAATAGCACCAGAGTCGAGGTTTGATCACCACCTCAGCCTCTTTGATGCCCCGAGTCAGACCCCAGCAGGATTCACTCCTCCACCCGGTGATGAAAGTGTGATCCACGGATTTCCTTGCATGCACCACTTCACCCAGAGCCTCAACCCATAAATCTGAGGCCAGATTTCCATGTTATCCACAACTATGTGCACATTATTCCCAAAAGTTGGCTCCAGCCTGCTCTGCAAGAACATTAATGTCTTTTGAGTGCTGACAACCTGCATGGATTTGAGACACTGCACTCATTAGATTTGCGTTTTTCTTGAAGTCCCAGCTCCTGGAGACAAACCACAGAGAACTTCAGCTCCCACCCAAATGAAGGTGGAAAAAAAACCTGTTCCCTTGACTGAAGGGGAAAAACTTAACACCTCACAAACCAAGCCCAGCGCCCAACGTTAAGTTTCTATTTTCAAATAAACTTCATTATTTTGCCAGAGGCCATCCTTACACCTCCTGAGCGTTATGAATTATGAGAATTCATCTGCAAGTCACCAGAAGCTGGTTCTGAAATCAGGGCTAATTTCATGTCTTGCTCAAACAAGGTTTCCCTGGATGTAAGGCAGGGCCAGGTCCTTGGGATCTGGACTAACAGCACTCTCTTTTAGCTCCTGTACAGCAACAAGGAGGCAGAAAAAATGGTCCAGAGCTGCAAATCAAGCACCTGCTTATTGCTGTGTGTGTTCCAGTGCCTCCAGCCCCGAGACAAAGAAGCCATTGGAACCACATTCCTACATTACAGTCCCTTATTTTGCCAGACAATATTCACGGGGGTCTGTTTCTCCTCTTCTGCAGGCTGGCAAAATGTTAAGCAAATATTTTTGGACTGCAAGAGGAACTGACATTTTAGGATATGAAAACAAGGAGGAAGGGCACAAATTAGAGGACCTCCAAGGAACAGCGTGCATACAAACAACAGTCATGAAATGGTGCCCTTATAGTTCCACTCAGCTCTGTTTTCTGAACCAGCAACTCGATAGCTCAGAGGGGTGGACACATCAGCAGCTCCAAAACATGAGATCAGGCTCAGATTCTTCCAGCAGTGAGGAGCAACAGCAGCACAAGAAGGAGAACGGGTTTCAAGGGATGAATATCAATCCTAGTTGTAACTGACCAACACAAGCACTGGGACACAGAAATGTATATAAATAATCCTTTAGTTTACTATTTTCCTATTGCTTTATTTGTGGAAAGTGCAAGATTCGCTTTATGTTGTGCAGCCCATGTTTACAGACAGTCTGCCATGAGCTCACACATTGCTGGATCACCTTGCAGAGGCAGCTTTAAAATCCCCCCTGCTTATTACAAGCGAGGATGAGGGTCTCCAACCCCTTTCTCAGCCAAGCCTGAGGGTTCCTGTTCTCCCATGGACAGTTTTGGTTCCTGATATTAAGCATTCAGAACTCGAGTCAACGCTGAGAGTTGCTGACAGGCTGCTCACAAGCCTCTCATGACTCCCTTGCTCCACTCCCAGCCTCGACCATGGGTTCAGCTGCACGGCTGAGGGATCACAAGACTCCCCAGGTTGGCTGTCTGGGTTGGTTTTATGAGGAATAGCTGTCCTGGGCTGACTGCCCCCACCTCCTGCAGGAGCCACAGCACACCATCACATGATGGAATTGTTTGCAATAGAAGTGAGTGGAGGAGATTCACCAGACAAAACTCTTCTGGGTTTCAGTGTCTCCATCCCACCAGTCCCTCACTGCTCAAGGCTTTACCCCTTTCATTCATTGCCTGCTCACCCTGACCACTGCCTGCAGCTCCTTTCTCTTCTGCTCCCTCTGAGCCTTGAATCCATCACAAACCTCCCCAACCTTCACCCAACGGTCAAGAGTTTTGCTTTGATGTTGCCCCAGCCAAGACAAGGAGGCAGCAACATGCACATTAAAGAAAACCTAAACCAGCTACCACAACAAGACACTCCTTGGGTGAACTGCTCCAAGGTAGAGGAAGGTGGAAGATAAACACAAACACCTTACTCACACCACTTAGAGCTGGTCTGAAAGATCCCACTGTGACAAAAGTGGGGTAAAATTCTGAAGGGAGTAAAGCCAGAGGAATAAAAAAAGCCATGGAGAAAAAGAGAGACCATCAGCATATTATTTTGTAATGCCTGTTCTGTGTTTTTTCCTGTTATTTGAAAGCAGGCTCTGAGCACTGGCTCCAGCCTGGGACCAGACCTGACAGACTCACAGGCAGCTCGAATGAAACCAACTGCCAAAGTGTCCACACAAACCCTGAAGTTCTCTGCCACATCCCCATCCACAGGACTCCTGACGAAGGGAGGAGTCAGGGAAGCACCACAGGCACAACTTTCCAGGCTTTTTTTGTCCACATAAAACCGTGGAAGCCGAAGTGGATTGGAAATATCACATATAAACACTGCTTTTACAGAACACCAAACTTTGTCTCCCTTTGCCTTTGCACATTCCTCAGGAGTCATTTGCAAGCCCTGAGAGCTTCTTGTGGGTCCAACACAAGGGGCCCTGGTTAAGATTTTCAGTGATGCAGGAACTCTGCTCCCAGGTATTTCCAAAGAGGCTTTACCAGAAGACATGGGAGGAGACCCACAGAGTTATGTTCAAAGAGTAGTTTTTGCCCCATCACTTCATCATACAATGGATTCGATGCTTTCAGGACCAGCTTTGTTGGTTCAAACTTTAAGCAAAGCTTCTACTTGCAGCTTTAGCACAAAACTGGGCAGTTAAGGTTATTTCTTTTTATTTTTAAGAGCATGCAGCCCTAATGCCATCAGCCACAAGAGTCCAGCCATCACCCTAAGCTCCATATGGAGTTGTAAGAGCAGAGATAGGAAACTCAGGGAGAAAAAAAAAACCAAGAACACCCCCTTCCCCCCACCCCAACCCTGCCACTTGAGTGCTCCAGCGAGATAAACAGTTTGGGGAAAAGGTTACCAAGAGTTTATGCTAAACATCATTTCCGAGGAACTCTGGCAAAGATAAAGAGACCAAGGGCTGTATTTTTTAGCTCAGTGATCAGCCCAGTGATTTCAGCTTCTCCCACCCTGGATATAACATGGATACATCCAGACACTGCTGACAAAAATCTGACTGCACACCTTAGGAATGCTGCTGCTGCTGGAGTTTGTCTGGAGGACATGGAGGCATCTACTACCACCTTACTACAGGGATGACAGCCTGTGAAACCACTGCTCTGTTCACAGGTGATGTTACTCTTATCCTTGGGCAGGTTCTGCACAAAACCAGGTGCCTTGGGCCTTCCAGAAACAGCCTGATGTTGGGAAACACCTGGAGGCTCAGGCACTTAAATTGACACAACACTCAGAGATCCCTGCACAGGCCATGTCTGTAACAGCCTGCAGGGGAATATCCCACCAGCAGCCAGTGTGAGCAAATCCTCCCTGTGAGGAGAAGTTTCCTCCCAAATCCCAAGATCTGCTTAGCCCTGAAATACAGGGATTTCTACCCCTCATACAGCTCTCATTTAATTTGCTCTTAATTCTGCAGATTCTCGTTATCCATATCAAATTTCTAATCCTTTTTTTTTTCCTTCCCCCTCCCCTCTCAAATCCCATAAGCCAAGAGCTCTTGGCTTCCACCATGGCTTGGTGGTAATAAGTTCCAGAGTTTTTTGGGCACTGCCTGGAATCCCAGAGCAGGGCTGGCAATCTGGCTTTCCTGGCTCTGCCACTCCCCACGAGTGGAAGGGTAGAGGGATGATGCCAGAAAGTCCA